CTAGTAGCTTCTTGTTACTACTAGTAAGGCACTTGTTACTAGTAGCGTTGCACTTGTTCCTAGTAGCGAACCTTGTTACTACTAGTAAGGCACTTGTTACTAGTAGCGATGCCAGGAGCCCCTAGTAGCTTCTTGTTACTACTAGTAAGGCACTTGTTACTAGTATCGATGCACTTGTTTCTACTAGCTTCTTTGCTCCACACGAAAGAATTTCCGTGCCTTCAGGCCACAAGATAGAGGTCATTCAAATCCGCAGCCAACAGGCCAGCAATGGCCAGTGACCGGTGGTGCCAGAAGGAGTCCTGCGACTGTCTTTTTTGGGGGGAATTCTTGTTTCACATGTTAGGCCTTCAGTGACCTTCAGACCTTTCTTTCGTTCCTTTTTCAAGAATGTCTTAAATGTGCTTAACTACTTTTCATTGTACGCCCCAGGCCTTTGGTGCTCCCCGTTTCTTAGCTTTTCTTGATGTCGTGGCCCATAGCTAGAAAGCATGCTGCTAGTAACAAAGGCATCGCTACTAGTAACAAGGGCATTGCTGCTAGTAACTATAGTAGTTGAATTTTTTGTGTTCTTGTATTATCATATACGATTCGTGTTTTCATTTTTGTTCCTTTTTGACATATGTCGTTTTAATTTTGCATTGCACGACGAATTTGGACAGGCCGTGCATATGTGGGCTCCGCTCGCTTGGAAGCCCGGGACCGCCGCAGCCTTAGAGCTCAAGTCCAAGCTGGCTTTGCATCAGAACTGAATAGGACTACCAAGGTCTAAAGAGGCAACCAATCTAGTATAGCAATCGCCTCCGCCCGATTATAGCAATGGCCTCCAACCTAATAGCAATGGCCTTGAACCTATTATAGCAATGGCCTCCAAACCATTATAGCAATGGCCTCCAATCTAGTATAGCAATGGCCTCCAACATAAAAGCAATGGCCTCCAACCGATCATAATAGCAATGGCCTCCAACCTACTAGCGGTGGCCTCCAACTACCAAGATCTAAAGAAAAGTAAGACATGACACAGATAGCCAAAGAAGCTCAAGAAAATCCCCAACAACTAAGTCTCGCTCATTGAGTATTGGCAAATTTTGGCAGTGTGCTTGTTAGCTACTGCTGCTTTCCAAAGTGCCATGCAAGCACATCAACACGCCAATACCTCAGGGCCTCACGACATCATGACCTTTTCGCATTTTTTCGCACTTCAGGGCCAACGTGTTAGTAGGGCCAATGTGTAACCCTGTAACGAGTGCCTTACTAGTAGTAACAAGTGCCTTACTAGTAGTAACAAGTGC